TACTTATTACTAACTAGTAGTACTAGTAGTAGTTTTGTGCTAACTTCAGGTACACTTTCTGGAACATTGTTCAAGCTTACACTGAAGGGGAAATTGTAATCATGTCTACCTAAGAATAATAGGATTCTAAAGCTGGAAAATATCTTAGAGATACCTTAATTTTACTTGTAAAGGAGACTCAGGTGATGGTCAACAATGAAGATCCCTAACAACTTTATTGAGTGCTTGTATAGTCAAACAGATAACTCCTCAGTACTGCTATGGGGAGGAATTAATAATGTTACACAGAAAGTATCATGGAATAGTATGATGGGGAAATCCTTTCAGTTCAGAAGATAAGGCTCTGGAGCCAAATTGCCCAAACTGTAATCCCTACTCTGCATTTAGTAGTCTTTTGGCCTTGGGCAGTTTACCTAATATCTCTAAGCCTCGGTTTCCTCATCGGTAAAATGGACATAATGTACTTACCTCATAGGATTGTTGTAAGGATTGAATGAGTTAAATACATCTAAGGCAACCTGGAGCCCTATATGGACTCTCCTTTTTCTTACGGAGCAAAGATTTTGCGGGGCTATGGAGACATGCCCACCTAGAACCCATCACCTCACTGACCTCTTATAAGCCAGACTCCAGTTATCGGAGACACTGGAATTACTACATAAATGGCCCTGAGCCCACTTACTACAGGGCTATCTTCTGGACTGCTCTGCTGGAATGTACTCTCCCAGATCAGAGGCTGACCTGAAGGGACAGCTATTTGTGGGCTGGGAGAGCATGTACCTGAAGCTGGGATGCATGGACTGAGTGTCCACAAATTTGTGTGCAAGGCCCCCCATGGACAGAGTAGGAGGTAGGACAAGAAGAGAGGCAGCCTGGAGGCAGGGGCCCATTTCTCCTCACGCTGCCACATTCTGGCATGGAACTCAAGGGATTCTAAGAATTCTGTGTTTGAATCTGTCCTTCCAGGTTGTTATGAAGGCACATTTGACAAGAGGAAAGAACATATTTGATATCTTGCTTGATATCTAACTTTTAAGCATGTAGACATATGGAATGGACCCCTTTAGTATTCTTGCCTTGCCCTGATGAGTATTAGGGAGTAAGCCTGGTGCCTTGCCCATAGTAAGCATTCAATAGAGTTTAATTATTATTGTTGTTGTTATTGTAAGTGACCCTTCTCACTTCTAGCAAAATACAATCTTTCCTTTCCCCCACTGACCAGAGACAATACATACAGCCTGCCAAGAGAACGCTGATGTACAAGCACTCAGGATAGAGATTTCTGAAGGCCTGAACAGAGAGGCAAAACCACTTTTCAGGTTAGCAAGTACAACCAGAAGGTAAGCAAAGCCCTTTGCAAAGATCAGCTGCCAGAAATTCCATACTAAACATGAACTCAGCATCAGCACTTGCAACTGTGAAGAATAACTCCCAGGGAAAGACAGTACAACAAAGAGGCCACACCCCAGCACAGAGCTGCCCACGGTAAGTGTCCATAAGACAAGAGGGTGACCAGCAGATCTGAGAGAAGTGGAAGCGAGACCCGAGTAGAGCCAAGCAAGGAATGTTCTCATAGCCTCAGGGGCTCAACATTAGCACAGGTTCCTCAGTAAGGAAGAGCTGGGAATGGAACAGAAGCCTACTGTTGTCCTTCACTATCTACTTTGATTATAGCAGAGAATGTGGGTCCAGGCATGCTGAACAGATTGCTTTGTTAATTTTATAAAGTCCTGAAATTTAAAACACGTTCTGAAGAGGATAGAATTTGACCCATTCCTTACAACTTACACCTGCATAAATTTCAAATGGATCAGAAATATAAATGTAAAAAAAATATCATCAAAGTACTGACCGAAAACGCAAGTTAATTCATCTACAGCCTGGAGAAACATTTCTAACCATGATGCAAAATCCAGAACTAAAAAAGGGCAAAAATGATACATTCAATTACAAAAAAAAAAAAAATTAAGACTTATTTTGCAGGGCAGAGAATATCATAAGAAAGTGAGAAGAAAAGTTATTAACTGGGAAAAATATTTGTAATCAATATTGCAGAGAAAGGATAATTATCTCTAATATATGAGCTTCTTCTTTTGGTAAAAATAAGACTACTAACTCCATGAAAAAATGTGAATAGCCAATTCATATAAGAAATAAAAATGGCCCTTAATCATGTGAAAAAAGAAATGCTAAAAACAAGAGAAATGCAAATTAAAAAATACACAGAATTTAAAACATGGACGGATGATCAACTGCACAGTCTCAAGGATACCTAAGGACAAAAAGAATAAAATGGACATGTCCCAGATGATGGACTCTAAAGTTAAAAAAAAAAAATTAAAATGTTTTCAGTCATCATATTAGAGCATAATAAATAATGCTTCAGGAATGCAATCAGCAAAATCCAGACTTTGGGCAATTCCCAAGGACAACCTGTTTTTGGTATTTTTTTTTAAATCAATTATAGGAAATAAAAATGAGAGGTAGAGGGGAAACTGCTTATTAGAAGATAATTAAAAGACATACCAATCCCATGGAGCTTATTTGGATCCTGATTTGAACAAACTATTCAAAAAACAAACACTATGAGATAACCATAGAAATGTGAGCACTGACTTAATATTTGATGGTTTTTAAGGTATTATTAATTTTTAGGTGTTATAATGGCCATGTGATTATGCTTTTTTAAAAGAAATCTTATCTTTTAGAGATACATGCTGAAATATTTATGTATGAAAAGTTTTGAGGTCTGAATTTGCCTTATTTGCTAAAAATAATCTGGAGGAGGGGGAGAGAGGTGGGTGGGGCTAAAGCTAAAATCAGATGGGCCCTGGGCTGGTTAGTACTGGCTACAGGTTGGTTCACTGTACTGTTCTCCCTACTTTTTAAAATTTCCGTATGTTCCATATTTCCAATTAAAAAAAATTGCTTCAAATATTGTTAGGGCCAGGACTCTGGACAGGACCCATCCTCTCTGACTGTTACAGCCAAGATTCTAAGTGGCACATGAGCAAAGTAGCATCCCCTACAGAACCTTCTTTCGGGCTTATTTCCATCTGAAGGTGTTTATCCATTTCTCCTGCACAGTGTTTTGTTATTACGGTCTCATTAAAATGGGTCAAGTAAGATTTTGGTTTATTATTCCCTCCAATGAGAAATAGGAAGTACAGAGTGATGGTTAAGGATTCAGGCTCTGGAGTCAGATAGCTGCACTCATGTCCAGCTCTACCGTCTGGATATGAGACCCTGGGGGAGTTATGGAGATAACACTGATAATTTCATAAATACGTTATGAGGATTCAGTGATTGACATAATGTATGTAAAGTGCTGAGAATACCTAGCACATAGTAAATATGCAAAATATTTTTGTTAATAATAGTAAACATCATCAACATTTAAAATATCTGCCCACAGAAGGTTCCCAGAGATTTTAAAATAAGATTTTAACTCAGTGATGCACATGTCTGTGTGATTGTCTGAGTTACTATTGCTGTGTTTATATGCTCCTGGCCATAAAATTGGTGTCTATTCTCTGAACCGGTTTTCTTTTCTTTTCTTTTTTAGGATTTTATTTATTTATTTGAGAGAAAGAAAGAGAGAAAGCATGAACGTGGGCTGGGGGGGCGGCAGGCAGAGGGAGAGGGAGAAGCCGACTCCCTGCTGAGCAGGGAGCCAAACACGGGGCTCGATCCCAGGATCCCGGGATCATGACCTGAGCCAAAGGCAGATGCTTAACCGACTGAGCCACCCAGACGCCCCTCTGAACCAGTTTTCTGATAAAACTGTAGAATATGTTGGAACTGATGCAGCATCAAACTGAAAATTCTCCACAGCCTTAAAAGCATCAATATTACTTACATGCAAAGACATCAGTGAGATAAATAACATGCCGCAGATTCATTAAATTGCTACCATTATAGAAGTAGTAGCCAAATAACTTCAAAATTATAGGCAGAAGGCGCAGTAGTGTATCATCAAACGAAGTCCTCAGAATCTAGTACTTGTGCCCTAGAGTGAGGAAAACTAGAGAAATATTTAAAATCAAATGGCTTGACCCCTGAAATCCTGAATTTCTGAAAACATTTTACTAATGGGAAGGAAACTTAAAAACAGTTTTGTGAACTCCGCTGCTGGCCCCCACAAATACTGACCTAATCTTCATATTAGCGAGGATGTTTCATTCCTCAGACAAAAGCTGAACAATCTGAAAAGAAGAGGACAGAATGAGCGAGCCCGGAGCACATGGACTGAAACATGACCTGGGGTCCTGCTCTAATCACTTTCCGCACGGCTTTGGACAAGGCACTCCGTCCCCAGGTCTTGGGTGTGCTCAAGTGTGACACGAAGGGGCTAGACTCAACCACCCGCAGGACACCTTCCACCTCTAAAACGTATGGCCAATTAATAGCATTCGTTTGTTCTTGGCAATACCTATTTCAGGGAAGTCATACAATTCAGCTACACGTCATTTATTGAGAGCCTACTTCAAAGAGTGGTGAAAACAGGGTAGAACGGAGCTATTCCCTCCCAATCTAGGCTCTTTAAAAAGACTAGGTTAGGGGCGCCTGGGTGGCTCAGTTGGTTAAGCGACTGCCTTCGGCTCAGGTCATGATCCTGGAGTCCCGATCCCGCATCGGGCTCCCTGCTCGGCAGGGAGTCTGCTTCTCCCTCTGACCCTCTCCCCTCTCATGTGTTCTTTCTCTCTCGTTCTCTCTCTCAAATAAATAAATAAAATCTTAAAAAAATAAAAAAATAAAAAGACTGGGTTAGCTCAGGCCTCCAGGCCTGCCTCACCCACTGCCCCACGGCCTTGCACCCTCCCCGCCCTCCCCGGGGCCAGGCCCCTGCCCGCGTGGCTTGCCTCCCCTGCCCGCGCCCCTGCTGCAACCCACACCTGGGGCTTCCTGGGTGGGAGTGGTCCTCCTGGCCCCCCAGGAGGAGGAAGAGATACCTGCGGCCTGACAAGTCCCCCCCCACCCCCCGCAACTACTTGGCGGTGATGGCCTTGGTGATCCAGGCAGCACCCTTCCGCGGGCTGAAGGGCCCACATCAGGCGTCAGGTCCAGGCCGCGTTCCCCTCCTTCAGGGACGACTACGAGGGCTGCAAGGATCCCGGCCGAGGCACTGCGGCTGCAGAACGCGGCCCTGGAGCGGGGCGGCGCTGGCAGAGCAGGGCCATGCGGGGAGGCGTCGCCGGGGGACCTGGCCCCTCCGCGCGGCGCGGCTGGCCCTAGAGGCCGTCGGGTCCCCAGCCGACGCCCAGGGAGGGCTTCAGCATGAATTGATTGCTAGGGGACCCCAGGGAGCGGGCACCACGGAGGGTCCAGCAGGCGCTGGGCACAGTGGGGAGAAGGTGATGCCCGCTCCACCCCTGCCCTCTGAGACGCCTCTGGGGCACCTCTGCCCCCTTCCTGGGCCCAGGAGAGGAGAGGGGAGGACTTCCCAAGGGAGGAAGCAGCAGGCTCTCGCCCCTCTCCCCTGAGCACAGAGCCTGGCCCCTGCACTTACTGCAGGACCCCGAAGACCCCCCGGGACTGTCCACTAGGAGTCATAGAGCCTCACTCTGGGTGGGCAGCTGCCCTCCTCCTACTTGCCCCTCCACCCTCCCAATGTGGTAATGCCCTTGGCTCCACTACCACCCACACCCTGTCCCCAGTGCCCACCTTCAGCCAGCCCAGCTTACTGGAGGGTGGCCCCGGAAGCTCATGGCCCGCCAGGGCTGCTCTGGGATCTAGATGCCCTCTTCCAGGGGGTGCCACCCAAACAGAGCATCTGTGACGTGTGGGTTAGTCAATCCCAGGATCCAGCTGCCTCCACCCCAGGCTGGCTACTCTCCCATAGAGCCTGCGAGGCTCCCAGTGCAGGGGCTGCTTTCCTCTCCTACCTCTTTCTGACACCACTGGCTTTTGGGGAACCAAGGCCAAGAGGACCAAGAGGTGTCTGCGGCCACAGCAGCCCTGAAACACCAGGCACCAGCGTGCTGAGCATCTGCGATGTTTATTGGACTACCCAACCAAGGGTTGGGGTTGGCCCAGGCACTGCCCTGGCCCTGATGGTCAGTCATGCCTCTCCTATCCCCAGAGGCAAGACTGGAAAGAGTGAGAGCTTTGCTTGCAGCAGCCCCTTCTGGATCCTCTTTCTCTGGCCCTCTCTGTCCATCTATCCTTCCTTCCATCTATCTATCACCATGTGTCGTTTCCCCTCCTTGGCTCCGGGCTGGGAGAGGGAGAACCTAACGGTGGCTCCAGCCTGAAGTCCTGTCCTCCCTCATGTGCCTGGGAATGAGGTAGCCCCTTTTGGGGGAAAGGAAATCAAGACCCTGCTTGGTTTGGGTGGTGGTAGTGGGGAAGATAACAGTAAGGGAGTAGACAATAAAAAAAATAATAATAAAAATTAAAAATAAAAAAACTGGGTCAAACTTGGGAATAAACTTAAAATCATGTTGTCAATTATATCTCAGTACAATTGGGGGAAAAATCTTAATGGAATTGTATACTTCCAAATGTTAAGTTTTATGGTATGTGAATTACATCTCAAGAAGAAGAGGGGAAAAAAAAGAAAGAAAGTATCTTGGGTGGCCCAAAGAGGCTTAAATAGTGATATGAACCAGAGTATGAACTTTTATAACTGAACAAGGAAAATCTGCACAGCAAATTTAGTTAGACCAACAGTGAGAAGCACCCTCTACCAAGACGGGCTACATAATTTGCATGGCCCAGAGGAAAATGAAAATGCAAGGCCCCTGGTCCAAAATTGTGAAGAATTTTGGGGCACCTGGGTGGCTCAGTCGGTTAAGCATCTACCTTAGGCTCAGGTCATGATCTCGGGGTCCCAGATGGAGCCCCACGTTGGGCTCCCTGCTCAGTGGGAGTCTGCTTCCCCTCTCCCTCTGTCCCTCCCCTCCTCCCCCGCTTTGTGCACTCTCTCTCTCTCTCAAATAAATAAATAAAACCTTTTTAAAAATTGTGAAGAATTTCAAGAGAGTGACAGCAGAGCGTTAAACCAAACTCACGCCCCTCTGGGCATGGGACCCTGTGTGACTGCACAGGTCACAGACCCATGAAGCCAGCTGTATTTACTGAACTGTTAAAATTTTCTAGGCCCAGGACAGAACACTTAACAGAGAACCCTTTCAATTTTCACCACAACCTTGTGAAAGTAACATTATTATCCCTATTTTGTGAGAGAGGAAATAAAGGCTTCAAGAGGTTAAAGAATCTATCCAAGTTCTCACAGCCTGGAAATGACAGAGCTGAACTTCATACTGAGGACTGACTCCAAAGTCATGTCCTCGCCAAAATTTTTGAGTGAATACGCCAATGTATGTGGAAACATAGAAAGATAAATTATACACATGCATTTATAAATCATGTACCTTATGAAGCCTGCAAAACAAAGACATTTTAAAGATGCCATAAATAGATATTCTAGTATTTTCTTTCCATACCTCAACCAATTGCCTTTCACAATTTCCAGTAGTACCCAGGGGTTAAGGCTGCCCTTGACTCAGACAAAATTAGAGTTAATAGTACCCAAGATGTTAATTTCCCTATGAAGCGTGAACATTTTAATAAGATATTCTTAAAGGTAACACTCAAAAAGGGGGTTGCTCATAATGGAATTTTAGGCCCTGTGAAAATCAAGGGGCATTTACTTTTTTATCTGGAGGCTGACTTGCCTTGGAGAAATTGCATTTCATTCTCTGATAAAGCAAGCAGGTTGAGCCTGACCAAGATTTTTAGTGTATTCTAGGTTGTCTGCACAGTTATACAGCAAAGGTTGATTGGGGAACACAAGATTACAACAAGATACAACATTAGTGACGAGTGTTTACTGAGTGCCTATGACAGGCCAGAAACCTTGCTGGTTGCTAGGGATAGAGTGAGTCAGCCATCAAGGAACTACGTGTGTTTTAAAGGAACAGAGGGGGCTCCATGCCAACAGAAATAACCTTGGAAAGAGATGCAGTTTGTCTTCTCCTCCTTCCTCCTCCTCTCCGCTAGAAAGAAAAGCCTGTGCTTACAGGTGTATTTTATGAAAAAATAGTTCAATACATTAGAACTTGAAGAAAATGACAAATTTTCCTTAAAAATATTAGAATCAACTTTTTATAACTGTCATCTTTCTCTAAACTATAGTGTAGTTTTTAGATCCTCTTGAAATACTGGGATGCCACAAAGTGCATTACAAAATTTGTTTTTGAATTCTGCTTTTATCTCTTTGTACATAATCAATAATAATCTGTGGTTGAATCATGGAGGTGCTAAAGATGGACAGCCCAAGATAAAGGTGATTTTTATAACTCTTCCTCAAGATGGCGACAAAGGACCGCGTCTTTAAAACAGGGACGCCAACTCTGTGCTGTTTAAATTAAATGGAAAATTCAGAATTTATTTCCTTACCGAATCTACAAGAAAAAAAGTGTAAATAAATGATATCTACAGAACTGTATTTTTCTAGTATCCTATTGGTTTAAAGGGTGAATTATTTGGATAGACTGTTGTTTGCTTTGTAAAAGTAGCACTAGGAAAAAAAGGAGTAGAAAGAAGAAAATTGGAATCACAGATTATATATCGAGATGGGTATGTCAACGACGCTTCACATGCCTTTCTTTGGTTGCCATGGTAACTCCCAGGTTCATTTACTCAGCCCTTGTTTTAATAGAGCTCTGAAAGCAGTGGAATGTTGGAGCTGCAGTCAGACTGCCTGGTTCAAGTCTTATCTCCACCCTTTACTAAACATGTGACTGTCAAGTGATTTAACATCTCTCCGTGTCTCAATTTCCTCATTTGGAAAATGCGGATGATGAGTACCTGAGAATAAGCATGTAAAGCACTGAGCACAGTACCTGGCACATATTATGTATTCAGTAAATCAGCAGTCACCACCAAAGCACCATCATGGCCACCCCTATCAAAACATTTATTTCACCGTATTTTATGAAGAAGCATGGTTCTTGGTATTGGCCAATCCCAGATAAGGGGGGAAATACTTTGGGGCTAAACAGTATAATTTGAGTATCTGGCTCATTGCTTAAAATATCGTATTGTTCAGTTTTTCATTTTGAAGCAATCCAATAATTTGATCAATGAATCACTCCATTCTGTTCAATTGCCATTTAGGATCTTTCTAGTTTTGCCGTAACAAAAAATTACATAAAGCAAATTTATGCAGAAAGCCACATTTTTACCAACCTATTTCTTCTTTTAAGTAGATTTTTGCATACCCAATCTGTTTCTATTCTAGCATTGCCTCTGTAATTACTAGAAAAAAAGAATAAAAATAAGTATCATTTTCCAAATTTTATAACCTTCATGAATAAGTTTAATCTACCCATATTTGCAGGAGATGCTTGGCTTTATTTTAGCGCTATCCTCTTTTTGCTTTTCCTTCTTGATATTGCTAATTGTCTCAGGGCTTAAGCAGTTCTTTCAACATTTATCCTTTCCATTGTCATTAATTTTTTTAATTGTCAAAATAATTTTCCATATTGGGCGCCTGGGTGGCTCAGACGGTTAAGCGTCTGTCTTCGGCTCAGGTCATGATCCCAGGGTCCTGGGATCGAGTCCCACATCGGGCTCCCTGCTCCTTGGGAGCCTGCTTCTCCC